GACGAGATCTATCGAAAACTGTCAGGTGAAAAAGCGATTAGACCAACGGTTTGCAAGATACAGCGACATTTGTCAGGAGATCAACGATTTTTAAAGTGAGTATATCTCGGAAACCGCTGGTCCATTCGCTTTGAGCCCTAATACTTTTCGACAGAACTCGCCGTGAACTGTCCAGAACTCCGATCAGAACTACTCGGTACTCCCAAAAAATTTTGACTTTAAATTTTTTTCGAAGTCCCACGTCGAAAATTTTTTGGGTGTACCGAGTAGTTCTGTTCAGAGTTCTGAACAGTTCTCGGCGAGTTCTGTCGAAAAGTATCAGGGCTCAAAGCGATTGGACCAATGATTTCCTAGATATACTCTAAAAATTGTTGATCTTCTGACAAATGTCGCTGCATCTTGCAAACCGTTGGTCTAATCGCTTTTTCACCTTACAGTTTTCGATATAACTCGTCGAGAACTATAAGAAACGCTACTCAGAACTACTCGGTACTCTAAAAAAATTTTCCGACATGGGATTTCAAAAAAATTTGAAGTAAAAATTTTTTGGGAGTACCGGGTAGTTCTGATCGGAGTTCTGGACAGTTTTCGGCGCGTTCTGTCGAAAAGTATCAGGGCTCAAAGCGATTGGACCAATGATTTCCGAAATATACTTTAAAAATTGTTGATCTTTCGACAAATGTCGCTGTATCTTGCAAATCGTTGATCCAATCGCTTTCTCACCTTACAGTTTTCGATAGAACTCGTCGAGTACTATACGAAACGCTACTCAGAACTACTCGGTACTCTCAAAAAAATTTTCAAAGGTTTCTACTATTTTTTTAAAACTTTATTATATTTCAAAAATGTTTTTTATATATCAAGAACTCTAGGTATTCACAAAATAGTTCTGTTAAGCTGATCAGAACTGTGCGATCTTGAATTTCGTTAAAAAGTTAGCACCCCATTTTTAAAAAATTATTAAAAAATGATTATTAAGCGCATATGTCATTAAAAATCACAGAGAACTCTTCGTATCGTCAAAAAGAAGCAGGAATTATCATCAGAACTATTGTATCTAAAAATTAATTTTTCTAAAATTTTTAATTTTTTTTTTATTATTCGAAAATTTTTTTTACGTATCAAGAACTCTAGGCAATCGCAAATTGAAGCTATTAAGCCGCTCAGAACTATTCCACCTCGAAATTCGATAAAAAGTTAACACCCCATTTTTAAAAAATGTAAAAAAAATGTTTATTAAGCGGAACTCTTGTTATTAACTATAGGGAACTCTTCGTCTCGTCAAAAGGAAGTGGGAACTCTAATCAGAACTCCTGAGTACTATAGTTGGGATGCTAACTTAACATACCCCCACACATCAAGAGTAAAGTGCCTCCAAACAATCAGTACTATCCAACTTTTTGACTTTTTCCGACAATACTGCAATAGTTCCAAAGAAATGTGCAGGTGTCGACCCGAGTACTCCTCGTTTAATATGTTTAAATAATTTTTTAAGTTTTCCGTTGGCACCGCACGTCAAGAGTAAAGTACCCCTAAACGGCCAGTACTGGCCGACTTTTCGACTTTTTCCGACAGTACTACAATAGTTCCGAAGAAATATACAGGTTTCGACGCGAGTACTGGCTGTTTAGAGGCATTATACTCTTGACGTGCGGTGCCAGCGGAAAAATTAAAAAATTATTTAAACGTATTAAACGAGGAGTACTCGGGTCGACACCTGCATATTTCTTCGGAACTATTGTAGTACTGTCGGAAAAAGTCGAAAAGTCGACCAGTACTGGCCGTTTAGGGGTACTTTACTCTTGATGTGCGGTGCCAGCGCGCGAATCGAAAAATTGTTTAAACATATTAAAAAGGTGGATAGTGTCACTAAAACCGATCAGGAACTGTAGTACTCTTCGAGTACTACTAAATGGCGCAAAAAGAATAATTTTTTTGAAAGTTGAGGTGCGAGCTCTTTTTTTAAAAATCAAAACGACTGAATCAAAACGCCATTTTAAACTTTCAATTTTTAAATACGGATTCGTAACGAACGTCCCCAAAAACCACCTGTAACCAAATTTCAACAAAATCGAAGAATCTTAAGGATTTCTGTAACATTTCCGTCCGCCATATTGGATCAACTATTTCGAACTTTCAATTTTTGAGAACGGATTCGTAACGAACACCCCCTAAATCACTAATATACCTAATTTCACCAAAATCGAACAATCTTTAGGATTTACGTTAATTTTACGTTCGCCATATTAGATCCACTATTTCGAATTTTCAATTTTTGAGTACAGATTCGAAATAATCGACCCCGAAAATCCTCAAATACGAAATCACATCAAAATCAGAGAATTCCAACAGCCTCAACGAAAAGAGGCTTCAAAAAAGCGTGACACGCCAATTTTAAGATATGATGATTAAAATGAAACATTATGTACCATAAATTTCTTGTTTTTTCCATATTATTTATTAAAACTAGAAAGTTCTGTACAATAAAAAATGTACGTACAAATGACACTAAAAGTTTTACATTTTAATATTGCACATTTTTTTTATATGGTTTTATATTTTATTGTAATATATATATATATATATATATATAAAATTTAAAATTGTTTGCGAAATATGTACATAAAATGCTTACGAATACACGTAATAACAAAGTGAAACAGCACCGAATATTCGAATATTGTTTAATACTACAACAAATGATAATAAAATCTTATTTCCTGACTGTTACGTAATCGAGCGAATCAATAATGTTCACACGAAGTTCAAAGGTGACTAAACGCAGCAGGAAAGAAAGCGGAGCCAATAAGAAACAGATCAAGACAAAAACGAAACTTGAGAGAACCTTAGAAGTGTTTTACGATAAATCGTGGAAGAAAAAAGGACCTTATCAATGTTGAAGATAGGGGAGTGAATTGTTCCGGACAAGAAATCGATATATTGGTATTTTTTCGCGCTTCAATATCTATTCAGAACTTTTTTAGAAACTTCCGCGAAAGCTGTGACAAGTAAAAGTTTAATAAGCCGGAACATATGAGGAAAAACCTAATTAAAAATTGTGTAGCATTGCACTAAATATAGGTATATAATTATATTATATTAATTAATTATGAATTGTATCAAATAAAAATTGATCAAGTACTTGAAACTTAACTGAATATCTGAGATTTTATTAAATTTTTACTTTTATTTTTACAATTATTTATTGTACTTTATGTAATTCTATTGATTAGTAACATGGAAAAGAAATGTATTAATATTTATTAGCTAATAGCAATCTAATTAGAAATAATTTGGTAATTCAATAACAGTGTTGAAATATTTCAGTATTGAATGGCGTCATTCTTATTTTAATGCATTTTTTTATTTGTCTCATTAAAATTGCTATTGATTAAGATTATTCTTAATTAAACGAATGTTGTTATACAATGTCACATATTTTCATATTTTTAATAGAAATGTAACGTTTATAAACTGTAAGTAAAAAATTACAATAATTACATTGTATATATCTTCATTAATTTTCATTTCTTTGTGAATAAATGATTATTTAATGTTGACCAAATATTGTATAACGCAAAGCGACGGTCAATACCATGACGACACTTATCTCTTCTGAAACACTCTGCCACGAGACTCTTCGAGGGTCACTCGATCGAAGAAACGTTTTGTGATGCCATTGTCCCTTTTAAAGCGCACCATCGCTTTTCTGTATACAATAAGACCAGTTATAAAGCAAAATATCGCAAAAAGGTTGCCTAGCAAATGACTACAGGATATTTGAAGTAAAAAAATTTAAAAACTCAGAAAAGTGACAGCCATGTATTAAATTAAGTGAAAAAAACTTATTAAAGTTTGCAAATATGTATGTATAGATATTATTAAATTAATGATTAACTACAATATAATTACGCGAGCGTAGTATGTCAGACAGTGCACTGATCTGTCATGCCAGAGGTCCCTGGTTCGATTTTTGATAGGAACCAAAATATTTATGTTCGTGTCTCCCCTCGGAAAAGGCCGGCAATCTCCCGAGAGTATTCTTGCCCACAGAAACACCTCTCGAAAAATCCGTCGTTCGAAATTGGCATTAAAACTGTAGATCCCATATGCTCGTGGCAATTGAATAACCAGCGTGTGCACCACAAACATATGAGAGAGATGTAACACTCAGGTCAGAAACTTAACGTAAAAAGAAGAAAAACGATATAATTAAAAATACATTATTTAAAAAAAATATATTTATTATATATATTCCTTTTTATAATATATTCTTTTCTCAGAACTTTTGTTAAAAATACACAATGAGATTTCTAAACAGAAGCGTACGAAATATAAAATAATATTTAAATACATATTGAATATTCATGTAGATTTTATAATTTTGTAACAAAAAAATTTATAAAGAAGTTTTTTTATTATTATCTATTATATCTTTCTTAGTTATCTATTATATTATTCTATACTTAACTAACTATTTTAATATTTATTACAGATGCCATATGGAGGACCGATTTGGACTGGATGGTGATACATCGCGATCGCTTGGTATTACTAAGTTTTATGAACCCGATCAGCAACTTGAGTACCATGACTGGTTCAGTAACTTCTCAATCTTTCGTAACCCCAGACGATGGTATTAACGAGAACCTCGATGAATTAACTACTCCAATACCTACAACAAACATGGCGCTTCCCGATGCTGTCGAGGCTCGTATTGAAACAACTACTAGATTCTTGACCATCCTCCATCCAATCACAGATCCACCTTTATCCCACATTACTTCGATTCCTAGTACGATCCCCAGCAAATCTACAACGAGCATTGAAATGATTTCAACAACTTCGAAAACGATATCGCTCTCAAAAAATAACACTGCAAAACGTCCAACCGTGAGACCCATCACCAGAAACAGTAGTTCGAAGGGTAGATCGAAGGCAAAGAATCTCATGAGGTTATCCACCACGGCTAAACCTGTTAGAGTCGTCGAAGGAAACATGACGGCTCAAAGTATGTCGTTAACAATGAATAGTTTAGCTGATCTTGATCATCCCGAAAACTTGAATTTGGAACTTCAAACAGGTAAATCAACCAGTCATCTATCAATTTCTACGTCGCGTCAGATTGTAACACTTTTAATTCTTTTATTTCCAAATTATTTGCAAGTTAGTTGCAATGAAAATAATATGCCAGAAAAATTCTCAAATTTTTTGAAATTAAAAAAATTTTTTTTTTTAGTAATTCGAAATAATTATTGAACATACTAAAGAAAAAGAACAAGTATATTATTTTATCATAAATAATATAAAAATTATAATTAACAGAACAGTGAGTTAAAAAAGAACGGCACATTTTTTATAATATCTTGTCAAATAGTGGAGGATAGTAAAATTTCATTCCACACGGTAATAATAGCGCGGAAATACGCTCGTTGAAGATGGAATTATTTACACATCGTCTATTTCATTTTTCAGCCGAATCATACGGTCCGATTACTTTGGAATATCTCAATTATGCCATCGCGCTCGGCGTCTATTCGGTAAGATACCCCGCCGTCTTTTGGTCGTGCAACAAAGCATTGGGCACGATTTTCAGTCTGCAGTTGGTCGTAAATTCAGCGCAGAGTCTGCTGGCTTACGCTGGAATGTCCGTCCTTTACAAGGTAAGCAACGCAAAGTATTCGATGCCAGTTAAAACTCACAGGAAACTTCGGTAACGTCTCAGTCAGTCCGCTCTCACTTACACGAGATACTCTTGCGGATACAAGAAAACTTAATAAAAGTTAATAAAACGCCAAAGAATCTGAGAAACGTCGAAAGTCCTCGAGAAATGTATCGTGAAATACAACACGCCTACGTTTTATTTGAAAAACCTCAGAACATTAGTATAAGAGAAACTTTTAAAAATTTAAAAAGAAAAATGTAGATTATTACTAAAATTGATATAATAACACAAATTTTAGAACTTATTACTTGTATTATTTTGTAGAATGGTTAATCCTTCGACTTTGTGTATATTTCTAGATAATATTTTTTGTTCTGAAGAAAATATTTTTTGTTATCAATAATAATTGTCTTTAAACCTTTATTTGTTTTTAATTATATAATATTATATATATATATAAAGCATATACATAAGCAATATATATATATATATATACATGTATTTATATATATTTTTAGGTCCAGGTAGTAGGTGCCTTGAAGGTCTTGCCGCATCTTCGGCATCGCACTATGCCCACAAGCAGTACAATTTCGACAATATTTGGAGATTCTTACTTTCTGCTAGATCCTCCAGTAACTCTCGTGCTCTTTGCTCTTTTGTCCTTTTTAGTGCTCTGCTCCAGCATGGTCATGTACTTCTACGCTCATGGCAGGTAAATATTTAGCGTGTTATGCACGAGCTTATTCAGCCCATATCTCGATTAAACTTTAGCTGAGATTACTTGCCGGGATTTTCTTTCGCGAAAGAAATTATCTGACCCATCCGTTATCAGATAAGAGTAATGAGACAAATTTACTCTTTGGATTACTCCAAGATCATCGTGAAGGTGTTAAACCAAATGTTTATCAATTAATTTTTTTTCATTAAATGTTTTCAACGTTTTGTTTAAAAATATGAGAATGTCCGTATTCTTATAATATGAGGATATATTTAATAATTATACTAGTTTATGAATTTATTGGAATCCTAAACAAATGTAATCCGTTTTTTTAAGTACTAAATGAATCCGTTCTCTAAATTTATTTATCACATCAATTTTAAAAATAATGATGTCATGTAGAGGTCCTAAAAACGACAATTTTAAGTTTTCGTGATGTTGTAACACTGACAGCAAAATTTTTATATAATTTTATTAATGCCATACAAAGGTATTAATTTTTAGCTTTAAAATTATACATTGTTTTGTTTCGATATAATTTTTTATTTTTAAGATATAGCAATTTGACAATATAACTATATTATATTTTATTATTATTTGTATTCAGCAGATAAAAATACATTATGAAACATCTAAATTGTTGAAACAATTTTTTATCGTAGATTGACGTAGGCCGATGTTATTTTCATATATATTTATATATACTTTATTATAATTTATCCTCTCTTTATTAAACGCAACAAATTTTTTATCGCAAAATTCATCAAACCCGGTAGTTTTTATTTTCCATTTATCCGGCTTTTATCTGACTTGCTAATTCGCTAATTTGAAACAGCATTTGTAGGCGTAAGTCAGACGACCGTACTCCCCGATACTGTTATTATTCAGTATGAAACTCAATGGTTTCCTCAATACGGTCCAATCCTCCTTTCTCAGCTTTCCCAGCATCCAACAAAGGATAACAATTAACGGTCCTATTGATATCACAGGATATCTTCTAAAAGAATCTTTAAAAGAAAGAATGTTTTTCCATTTCAGTCATTCTAATTTATTATAAAAAATAAATAAATAAATAAAAAGTAGTCCACAATTTTAGATGAAGAAGTAAGAAATACGTTTCTTAGCTTATAGCTTATAGCTACATCTAAAAATGTATAAATCATAAGATAGATTTATTGTGAAATTATGTGCGATTTTAAAACAGATTTAATTATTTTTTTCAATATTTCAAATAAACAATATTATAAAATCGAAATGTAATTTATAGCTTTATATCATGGTATACGTTGTGCAGGTTTACGGCGTTCTTGAATCAGGAACGTGAGCGTCGTGTGATCCTGTCGAAGGATGGCCGCGAGGGCAACGGTTGGGTCTATCTGCCGCATTGCGCCGCGTTCGTCGTGTTCCTGGCGATCGTGATCTGCGGTGCGCCGTTGCTTTACGACTTTACGGTGGTGTATCGCGGTAGCCTGGACGGCGCCATTCTTGCCTGCATCATCGGTATGATCCTGCATCTCCTCCTCTGGCTGCTACTCTGGATATTTCTCACTATCAAGCAACGATGGACGTTCAAGTTACGCGTGACCATCGGACGCGCAACTGTGAGGTCCGCGAGGTCGGTCAAACTTGTGACCGACGTCGACTTGCTCTCGGCAAGGGACGACGACGATGGCACCAACGCGCCGTTGCTCGTCGTCGGTAATGGCAGGACTTACACTATCGCCGACACTTCGCCAAAGAGAGCCATCATGAGTGTAATACAGAAAGCCGCCATGGAAAGGAAAGCGCGATCGCAAGGTAATAGAAATTGGTGAAAACACCTCCTACAGAATCCTGTAAGGCCCGGTTGCACCAAGTCACCAACACTTCTTGATTTTAAGCGAGACTTTTAACTCTATCTATCTCGTTTTAAAGCCGAAAGGGAGACAGAGACAGAGACAGTTTAAGTTTCGCTTAAAATTGAAATCATGTTGGTGCAATCAGGCCTAAATCAGATTTTTACTCTTACCGAATAAAATATCAGCTTTTCTTTCAGTACGCCACCAGATAAATGATATTTTTAAAAGATTCGATTGTTTTATATCCGATTATACTTTCTGCAACAGAATTACTTTTAAGAATGATGAGTGCTTTCCTCTTTTTCTTTTTTGCATGGAGTCGAAAAGACGGTGGATACGAATTGTCGGGCATGAAATAGAATGAGCCGGCTTAAATTCTGATCGATGAAAGTATACGCACGACTAGTACCTGAAAACGATTTATCCTTTTCCGTGACGATTGCAGGTGGAAACGTTGATGGAGTCGACGGAGAATCGACGGCTGACGGTGATGAGCAGATCTACTGGCTTAGGCCGAAATTACGTCCTTCACCTACACAATCCCCGAATGACACCAGCAGTGCACCGACGTCCGATAAGAGTTGGCTGAACAAGAAACTCAAGCATAAGGTCACCTTTAACGACCTGCCTAGTACGTCAGGCTCGCGGTAACTACCCTCCTCCCTCCTCTTGGTGTCTTTGTATCTGTTTCTATGCTTTCTCTCTCACCATTTTGCTCACGTCACACTTGTAATAAAAGTAGTGCTTTATCCACGTTCTTTACTGCGTCTGAAATATTGAATACTTATGAAACGGAATCTTTTAAATGGTTACTATTAGAATTATAGTAGTATTTATTTTCTCTTCTGTTTGCATCTTTGTGAGATGAATGAATATTTCCCAAGTAAAACAATGTATGGCAGTATATACATACATATAATATATATATATATTGATATGCTTGGGTCTTATTTCAGTAAAGCACGATGTAAACTGGAACTATTGAATCCTAAAACATTCTGTCTTATCCTCGTAATTTGCTACGTATATAATATTCATCTTAAATATAGTTTATATTGTATTTTCTTGTATTCTACTAACTTTTTCTATCATCTATTATTATTATTATCAATGTTCAGATGCTTCGAATTTAAATACTTTGAACTATTATTCTTTTTACTTTTAGTATCTTTTCATCGTTTATATGAACTAAGTATATGGATTTCAAAGCTTTCTTCGCATTTCATCTCTGTTTTATCTGTCTGTGTACCTATATCTATTCCGCTTGACATACCAATCCAAATCAACCATTCAGTCACCGTTTCTCCGACCTTTTTGAATTTCTTCGGCAATTGCTGTGTACGCATGGAAACATAGAACGCCATTTGATCGTTACGTTTGGTTTCTAGTAATAAGGGAAAAGCCAGACGAGGCGTCGCTGACGGCGGGCCTGACGATGACGGAGATTACGCCACGTTACGCGAATTACCGTTAATCACCTCGCTGGATCCCGCCGACGACTCTACCTCTGAAGAAAACAAGGTAAACTATACATATACTCCGATAAGTTATTCTTCATTCGTAGAAAAAAGAACTATTTAGATAGTTTAGATTATTTTCCCGTGCATAGAAAAAAACATAAAAGGGGTACATTTTTAAGAATATCCTACATACATACATTTTATCACTCGTTTTGATAAAACATTCTTTTCTTTTTAAGAATTCATCACTTTATTGTGTTTTATTTGATTACACCGAATACGCTTTCGTCGTATTTCTCATCGCTTTTAATTTAGAGATTTTCTTTGCTTTTGACAGTGGCAAAGATGGCCGATAAGTCGTAGAGACAGTATACCTAAATTCAGGAATGTAAGATATACATGCATATATATATATAAATATTTTTATATTTTACGTAGCATCAATTAATTACGTGTGCTGTTTCGGATTGTCCACTAACCAATCTTGTAATATAAATATAATTACATTTATTAGAAATTTATTACAATAATAGACAGTAAGCCTGACTTATATATATTGTGTTTTATTTATAACAATTACAATATTATTATAAAATAATTTCTATAATTGAGATATATATATATTAAATATGTAAATTATTATGTCGCTTTTATTAACATATGTTTTTTATTAATATATATAAATATATTAGTGTATACTTAATATATGTATTAGTGTAATAGTGTATAAAGTATAATAAATATACATTCACACATAATAAAAAGTATATTTATATGATATGATGTGTATAAAACTTCACAAATTCTTCATAGCTATTAACAATTAGATGTACAGTCTAGCTATTTATCTCGCAACTTTAATTTTATAAATCATTTTTGTTTACTAATATTCTTATCACTAAGCGCATGAAATTAAAACGTTTCCTCTCGAATACTAACAATGTCGCCTTTTGACAGTTGCTCGAGTGTGTGAACGACGATCAAGTGACTTACTATGCAAGTGCGAGTCGCGACCTACAACCGTCGGAAGGTGATCCTTCGCCTCTTCTGACTCCAGATCCTCTACCCGATCCCGCAGAAGAACCGCTTCCACTGCCACCTCCGACTCCAACATCCGCACCAACTATCGATATTGTCACGGCGCCATTAACTACAAATGTCCAGGTACTAACAATCTTAACTACGCATTGTCTGCATTCGGAGAAAAAGACATAGGAGATAGCAACTACAAAAGTAACTATACAAGTTTCATATGTAGAATTGTACATACGATTGAAAAATTATTTTAGAGTTTATTATGCAAGTATGTATATTAATTTTAAATATCTAAATCTATTAAATTCTAAACATATAAAATTTGTATAGTTGTTACTTTCATAATTATTTCCATTATGTATTTCTCTGAGTGTAATTCACGTAGACGAGAATACAAGATTGTCGTTGCACTTGCGAAATACTCGAATCAATTGACAATGAAGAATGTAAAATCACTTATTAACCTACTATTGGAAAATAATAAAAAAAAAGTAACAGAATATTTTTTATTAATCCAATTCTCTTGATGAAATACAGCTAAAATATTTTATAACTTTTTTATAACGACAATCTCATCCACCGTTTGCGATGTTTAAGACTTCGCACGGCACTCCACATTATCCCTGTACCCTGTGTAAAACCGAAAAAAGTAACCGAAACCGCAGCAAAGAAGACTCCAAGTTATTTTAACATGTCTTTGTGCATCGTTTCTTCCTATGATATTTATTTTCGCACTATGTGTTTCATCGCTTTTACAACACTGCAACCAGAATCAAGACCGTAACTCAACGATGAAACTTTCCAGATGAACGGCGGACAGACGCCGCGATGCCTACGCCGTGCGGATTCGGGGATGCCGCATGATGAATTGACACCACGCTCGGACTCCTCGAACTCGCCACCCTTGGACACGGTAGGCAGCAGTGGTGGTGCCGGTTCAGTAACTGGTCACAGCAACACCAGTAGCAACAGCGAGACGTCGAGTGGCGTGCACAGTAACGCAAGCAACGCCAGTAACGCTAGCCACAGCAGCTCCCAACGTCGGGCGACCAGCGTAGACGACCTGACCGGGGAACCGCGCGAGGAGCCACGCGAGCAGTGGCGCAGCTGCTCCCTTCAACGTGGCACGCAGCCACCTTCAGCGAACATGACATTCTCACCACCCAGCAGTCGTCCCAGCACCAGTCAGTCCTTCTCCTCGCCACAATATGTAAACCATGTGCCGCCGTATAGCAATGCCGTTAGCGAGATTGGCTCCGGCTGCCCGGCAGTCATCCTGGAGAATCCAAATGAGGCGACGGTCGTAATCCGTCGCAAGCTCTCGAGAGCGAAACTCACGGATCCACTGAATCCGAACGAGGAACCGTTTGGTCGATCCACCAATATGAGGATGACCTCCTTCACCGAGAGCAACGACATTCGCATACAGGCCTCCTCGGCAACTTTGCCGCATTATCCTACACAGCCTGTCGTCACCTATCCTCATTGCTCCACGATGCCGCTACCGCACGCGTCCCATAGTGTGGCCGCGACGAATATGAGCGGCGGCTCCACCGGCAGTTGCGGATCCGTACCAAGGCACACCTTCGTACCTCCGCAGGTTCATTCTACTATGCCAGCACATACGACTCTCCCGTCACATCATAACGGCGTTAGGCTGCTCCATGCTACCGCCGTTGGTCCCAGCAATCCCTTTGTTAAGAGATTCCCGCCAGTACAGTTGCATACTCAACCCTGGGCCCTGCCGGGTCATCATACTTTCCCCCAGATGCCGCAAAGCAATAATAAGCTCACGGCCACTGCACAGATCAGACAGAGCGATCGAGACTCTGCAAACTTCTCCATGGCTAGCAGCGGGGATTCTGACACATGTTTACCACATTAAAACTCGAGAACTGCTGGTAGTCATAAACTCGAATCGCGTTAGGTAATACCTGGTATTTTCGTAATGATATTTTCGTGATGACAAATGACATCGGAAAGTAATTTGCAGGCATGGCCGATGTCACGATTATGATCTCTCTAAATGCTTATGAATGAAAATGGTAAAAATGTAATAGGCAAAGGATAGAGAAAAGAGAGAAAAAAAGTAAAATTTTTGCGCAAACTCGAGATAGGTATATCTCTAATATCTTGCTTTGAAATCGATAAATCTGTAAGACTCACACGAAAAAGAAATACACTACATTACTCATTGTCAGTATGAATTATTAGAAAAGAAGCTTTTACGTATTTCATATCGCATGCTCAAATGCTAAAATTTTAAGAAAATTAATCGGATTAGGGTTAAAATAACATATCAATTTCTGCCGTTTGTTAACAAACAATAATGGCATAATATATGGCATTCCTTAAAAAATACAGGTTATCTCTATTTTTTATAATCTGGTCTAGATGACGGTCAGATTTTACCCGATTATTTATGTAAGTGCGTCTATGATATTAACATAGAGTTTATTGCATAAATTGCGTAAAAATAAGAAAAATTTAATTAATTTGAATGAGCAATGTACGGCAATGTAAACACATAAAAAAAGACAAATTAAGTCTAAATTATTACATACGTATATCTACGGGTAGCCTATGAAGATAATTAATAATTGTAATTAAAAAGACATCAATTTCGTTACATACATATCTTATACGTTGTGATTACATACGTCCCATTTTATCTTTAATCTTACAGCAATAAAGGGAGATATTTAAAACAAATAGTGATATAAACAATAAAACAATACACGACTCGATTAAGAAATTTTCATCCTGGTTAATGCAAAATAGTTCTAAATTAAATGCATCAATAAATAATTACTGCAAAATATAAGTAATGCATATATATCACAACTTAAAAGAAAGTTAAACAGATTAATAATTAAAAATATGTATAAGTAATAATAATGCTCTTTCTCTTTCTCTCGAGTTTGCGCAAATATCTCTCGGTACGTATCGACGTATGCTTATAGTTGAAATCATCTTTCTCATTTTCCTATATCGTGGGGCTAAAGTGTTTGAGAGAGAACAAAGAAAATCAGCATTTAATGCCGCAAGGAAACGGCAGGCGAGAGTGAGAATAACGTAGTTATCCCATTTTAGGTATGGAAAAAGTTATTGTGTTGTCTTAAATAAAATTTGTGTATAGAATGAATTAAGATAAAGGAAGGAGAATGTGGAAAAACTTGGGTCGCCCCTTTCATACAGCGTACGCTTTTGTAACAATTAAGATCTTTTTTCCACCGATGACTGTAAATTTTGTTAAAACGTAATTTGTACATTGCCAATTGTTTGTTTATACTACGACTCTGCGATGAGTCACTTGTATGCGATAATACGAGAAAAAGAAGAAAAAGAGCATTCCCGCATTGGAATGCACATTTAAACTATGTTCAATATGTTTTGTCTTTCGTTTGCTTTTGATCTTTTTTGTTTCTTTTTTATAGATTTATTGAGTTTGTCTCGTCGAGAATAAATGTTTGTTTATCGAATCTTCTATAAATTGTATGTTTAAATAATTAGGAATTACATACGAAATAAACACGCAGGCGGTTTTATATAAGTCACTGTAAAATATATACAAACGCAGATTATAGGTCATACGATTTTCTCGGCCTTGATAAGATATGATTTTTGGTATGCTTCGAATATATTGTTGCGTTAAATCTTCTGGCCTGATAACGATGTATTATAATCTGTTACTTTGGTCGTAATCATGTCGTAAGATTTTCGATATTAGCAGTGCCATTAAAAATAAGCATATACGATCAGAAAAGAAATACGAAAGGTACTGTTTTATTATTTATAGAATTAAAACCTATGAGTAAGAGATGAAGATAAAGCTAGAGATTTACCGCGGAAATATAATACGTGCTATTTATTTATTTGCAAATGGTTCAGCATCTCTTTATAGTCTAATATTCTATCTTTTGTTAAAAGAATTGCACAAAATGCATACATACGTGAAATTTCATACATTTTATTTTATATTGCTTCTCTCTGGGAGAGAAAAACATAAAATAAATTTTTCGCCTGATTTCTATTTATATTATTTATAACGATACAACGAGTATATTTATATTTAATGCCTGCAATATATGTATATTTAAATGAATTATTGGCGTATTATTGAGGAGAAAAAAAAACGCGATCTATAACAAGCGGATTAAGGAATGATACTGCCACTCAATCATGAAAGAGAAAAAAGAGAGAGATCTACAGATCTCGATTATATTTACTTATTTCGACTGCCATGTTATTTCGTCCTTTTGTCAATATAAGTAATCACCGTACTCGTTTGCTCGTACCTAAGCATTTACTTGTGCGTATGCTATCGGTACGTGCGTACATATACATATATACATATATATATAAAGGATACGTTCTCGCTAAGTTGTGTTCTTTCGCGACTATATGTATATCATTCTATGAGACGCGTGATGATAGAGACTGGTCTCGCAAAGATGTATCACATTCTCAAGTCGTTCTCGCAATCTAATGCAGTAGACATTGCCTCATAATATGACGCAACGTTTGTTTCATCTCTTCTTTGCTTTTCGACGAATCTTCGGGAAGTCAATATTACAAATCATTTCGTCCGCCCAGTGATATGCCAATATTAAAGAAATGTTGCATCCTATGGATGACAATGCGTATCGTTGATTTGTAATTATTTGTAACGATGTAATCGAATTCGTTTTTTAATAGAAACGGATTTAATTGCATATGAGTCAGCAAATTGGCTTTCCGTTAGATTGCGATAGGCTAAAGAAAGAATATTTAAAATGATAACGTAAGTTAAAAAAAAGATCAGACAAATGAAGTTACATTGCTTCAGTTAAAATCAATAAATAAACTAAATTTAATACATATGTAATTTATAAAAATGAAAAATTTAAGTAAATGAGTTCATTATTTTGCAATTTATGTCAATTGATGTACTCTTTTCAAATTCACTATTATTATGATGTATCATTGCCTATTATTATTATTATTATTATTATTATTATTATTATTATTATTATTATTATTATTATTATTATTATTAATTATTATTGTCATCGTCAAATATTTTATAATATATTAGTAACTTTATATAAAATTGTAGGTATCATTTTTTGAGATAAATGAAATGAAATATTGCACTTATTTGTGTGCGTGTGGTGAGCGTAAAAACATTTTTTTGTAGTCATTGATATGAGAATACCAACGCAATGATAAACAAGTAGTATTATGATTGTATACCAGTGTGACATATGACTGCGGCCGAAAAGATTTTTATGCATTCCGTAAAGATAATAACTACAACAAATAACAATAAAAAGAAAGTGTAAGCGTTCTTGTACGGCATTGTTCGGAACTCATACTTTTCATGAGGCAATGCAATATATAAAACTAAATATCTGTATTTTTCAATATCTTCCAGTATTAGAAATAGCGATGTTCTCAGCCTTGTTCATAGAATGTTTTTGTTACAAGTTGTTATACGAACAAAGGTAATTAATAGCTCACGAAATCGTGGGAGATTTATTCTGAAAAATTCCACGCTTTCCATTTACTTATATTACACGAAGAAAATGTGATGAATAATCCAAGTGCAAATCTAATGGGTTGTAATGATTGATCTTGATACTATACATCAAGGAGACATTTCATCCTGCAACAATACATTACGACATTCAAATATTCACATAAGCTTGCAGCTATTCACGAAATAGATTCAACTTATAGTGCAGATTCAAACTTTAGGCTCCGATTCTTTGTGAATCGTGATTAACCATATTGTCTCGTAAGCTATGGAAAGCACTTATCAAAGCACAAGAGATTGACCAATTGATCACGAACGGCAAGTCCGTCACTTTTATACGACTTATCGAGCGCTTTGTCATTGCCGATCGTACATATCATCTCGCAAGGACCATGCATTTCGTGAAAACATTTATGAGGATACTCAAGCAATAGCACGAAGCATCGATCAAGGGCTGGACCAGACTTCTTAATGATCAATGAGCTCTAATAGTACCCAATGTAGTGCAAACATATTTTTTAATGACTATTTTCAATACGCTAGTAGATGAAGAAATAGGAGAATTTTCTAGAGAAAAAAGAGAAAGAACTTAAATTTGGAAAGATTTATTCTGTCTCTCCCGTTTGTAGTCCTGTATAGTCCGATAACGCTACCCTCGATTCTGTTTCGAAGTAGATACTTAAACGCTAGAATCACGTATTTTTCTCATTGCAAATGCTTCGGCATGACACTTTCTTCCACATTCATTTATGCGCGCGTATGTTATCAAGAAGTCTTCGTTGCAGCATCACTTAATCTTTGACTTATTCAAGCTATTAAAATTTTATGTTTAAACTAAATTTTTAATCTGAGAATATGACTCTCCTCGATATAATATAATATTTCTAATTTTTAGTAATTTCCATGACTTTTTCTTGTTACTTACTAAAACTTACCCATAAAACAATTTTCCAAAGAATATCCTTAAAACTGTTACATTTAGAGAATGTTTTACGTCCTAAATAAGGACGGCCTTAGACCTCTCAGGTCATTCTTTGAAAAACTGTATTATATGTTCCTTGTTGTTCTAATTCATTCTTTACATTTTTATTATATAAATTATTTATGTGCTGGAAAATAGTTATTAATTTCGTATAAATTAAGTTTTCATAATATTTCTTTTTTTTATTATAATTAATGTATTAATTAATATTTTCAATTTGTTTAAGAGAGAGCAATTCTATAAATTGTTTATACATTGAAAGAATCAAGTACTTTATTCATTATATATTTTCAAGAACGATAATCGATTAACTCCCTTGTGAGCAGCATTTATAATTTATCAGGCATTCAACGGAGATTTCTGATAGCGTTTGCTCGCATATATACAATTGATACATTATTGATCGCGCCGTTGCAATCGCTACTGATACAATTTTTTAAAAAATGCACACAACAATGGTAGTAGCACAAAGAAAAACCTATCTTTTGATAATTGCACCATGGACGGCATATATTGCTGCGGCGTAATCGCGATGACCATCATAGAAAATAGTTAATCATTGACGATGGACACGCATCTCAAAATCATTATTCAAAATAAAAGTATTTTTACACGTTCTCTGTTTAGGATTAAATAAAAAATTTATAGATTTTTTGAATTACAAAGACAGAGAAAGATTTGATAAAAAATAAATACTCACATTTGTACTATTTCTAATCTTTCTGATCTCATAGAAAAAAAAAATCATGCGTCTTATTTTATTCTTACCTTCAAAAGTTCTTATATGTATTTATATCTTTCTACTACATCGGTATTTGCAAAAATTTTGCAAAGATGCCTGTCCCATTTTCAATGACATTTTTGCTTTGTTATACTTGCGTGCGATTAAAATCAGGTAGTCGACATTGACGTGCGCGAGAAACAAGCGCAGCGACGAGATACGAAAAGCTGTCTCTCGTAGAAATATTTTTTTACCGTCAGCGACCGTACTCTAATTCGTTTTAGATCCAGCTAGAACCTAGACGTAGGTGTGACCGTAATGCAGTCGAGGAAGGCTCCGCACCGGAGGCGTTTCGAAAGCAAGGAGCAAGATCTATATATTGCCATATCACACACAGCCCTAAATCGCTTATACCTTATCCTCTTAGCAAGACAGATACCAATTACGACGATATTGTATAAATTTCTAAATTAATTAACAGTAAATGTATTCTTATCTTCATCTATTATATACTCATCCTCATAAGTAAAAGATACATTTAAATTTTTAATTGTGTGATGTTTTCTCATCTTTTTTTATTTGAATTTCCTATAGACATGGTATGATACTCTCTCTTCTATGTCTATAGGATTTCCATTTATTTAAGAGAGAAAATAAAACGCGTACTCAAAATCAAATAATTTTTGTGAAAATAAAAATCAGAGCATAAGTTGAATGTAAGAAGAAAGTAACAGAAGCTTTGTTTATGCTTCTGTTGTTCTCATCTTATATTTGACTGATGCTTCGATTTTTTTTATTTATTCTAGGAAAAATCAGAATAAGTAATTTGAAGAAGACATAAATTAATATATTTCATGTAACATTTGTCATCTGCAAGGGATTAAGGTAACGAAGTAATGACATCAAGGGCCGAAAGAGAGATTGGCTGATCGAAATCCTTTTTTTTTCTTATTATTTAATCATTGATCGCGCGAAATCCTTGGTTCCACCTCAGCAAGAGCATTGAAGAAAGAGCCGGTCAGAGCCCTCCAAAGAGTCGCGTCCCAGGAACGTGTATGTATAACCGCGAGAGAGCGCTTAATCGAAGTGTCATTATATCAACGGCTCCTTCGAAACATTTGTAAATAATGAAGAGTTGCGTTGAGTGAAGAGAACCGCGAGAGTGCGAGTGTGTGAATGCGTGTATCGAGAGTGCGAGCGAGACAGACACATATACAGCGAATGTGTACGAATAATTGTATAAAGACTGATTAGATTAGCCTTGGTATTTATTCGAATTTATAATGATTAAACGCTACCGCTTTGCGCGCGCCCTGAAAAAGGAAATATTCACGGAGCACGATGCCATAGGTATTCCCCGATGAACTTCGTTTTTCCGTCAAAGTATTGATATATCGATACTCAACGGTGTCTCGTTGATTACAATCGAAAGGGATTGCCTTTCCATTGTTACAATTTGTTTCCCTGCTCCAAAGCGAGAGTTCGACTCTTCGCGTAATTTTTTCCAACTCCCGAAGAAGCTATGCTGGCCTAAAATTTTGGAGAACATTCTTGTCTCCCAGCAAAATTTTCGCTTTATATCACTATGTCGTTCAGTTGCGCGTGTATCTTTGAATGTGACCTCGACAGAGCAGAGTAGCAATCATGTAACTTTTTTCCTAGGGCGGAAATATGAAAAATGAAAAATTTTTCCATTACCTTCGATGATACAAATTTTTATTTTTCTTATTTCCGTCTTAGAGAAAAAATTACACAATCGTTACTCAGATTTGAAAATAAAAGAACGAAGGCTGAAAGACGATACATGGATACATGCGACACATTTCGAACGAATTTGTTATTCCTTGTGCACGCTTTAATTCCGACACTTTAGTAATTAATGATACGTCCTAACAACACATCGTGCTCGAATATGTATGAACGCAGCAAAGGCAGAGGCAAGAATGACACGCGCGATTATTAACAGCGACATTATTATCGTCACAACGTATCAATATTATTCAATGCATCGTATAAACCAATAAACTAAATGTAAACTTTGTATATTCATTTACTAAGAGAATAAAAGTAACTTATTCGACGAACAGCTTAGTATGTTCGATTATCCTCATTTCTTCCGATCAAAACCTCAAAAACAGGAATTAAAAAGATGTAAAAAAAATTAATTTTATTTTCTGTATGATGTTTATTGATAAATAGCAAATACTTTTATCCATAAATCACAATAATTATATTATAAAATGTTGTAATTATTATCTTTATTATTATATATTTTATTCATTATTATTATCTTTATTATTATTTTATTTATTATTTAATATTCACAAATTTTCCATTAGCGCCCGTGCTCTTTTCAATTCTGAAAAATAAAAACATGAATATTTTTTATAAAATGTATACATCTGTGTATGCGTGTGAATGTTTAGTATAAAGTTGAAAAATCGTAGTATAATAAATTTCTTGTAACAAAGTAATCTCGATAAAAGTTCTAATAATCACTTCTATCAATTTTTAGAATTAAACTGTTACCTTTCAATAAAACTTGCACATCATCTTTGGAGATATTTATAGTGGAGTCTTCCTCTTTTCCATCTATTTTTTTCAATTTCAATGTCACAGCAGAAACAGGCGACGAGCTATCGCAAGGTAATACTTCGATGGAGGACAAACGACTAACTACGAATGTAAAAGTTAGAAGTAAATTTTTGCATAAACTAAAAGATTTAAATCGCAAATGAGAAACATTATCAGATATAAATAATATATAAACCTATAATTTTTATACTTTGACGAGCTAAGATTTTCAAAGATTTTTCACAAGTTAAATTTGTGATATTTATATTTTAACTTAGTTTTCAATTCTATCCTATAAAAACAGAGTTTGCACCTCTCAAAGACTGAGATGAAAGAACAGCCGTGATCTGAGGACAATGATCTGTGTGAAGCCTTGCTACAGCTGTACTGTGTTCTCGCGGAAGTCCCAATTGTTGCAGTTCGCTGCTCAAATCAGCAGCGGAAACGCCATATCGGGCGGAAGATGTGAATATCAATTCGAGGGCGGCTACCATTGCCTTCGCATCACTTACATCTAAATAAAATAAATGTCAGCACTTTCTTTTCTTTTATCAATTATTTATCGCATCATTTTATTTAGTGATTATAATAATATACAAAGTTACACGCACCAAGTTTAGCGTCTTGTGTAATTTTTTTAACTTTTTCTTCCTAAAAAATTTAATATAACGCAATTAAGGATAATTTTCTTATATTTAAAATAAAAAAATGTGTAGCATATAATTTAAATACTTTAATCGTTTATTTTATATTAATATAAATATCCAAATTAAAGGATATTCGGTACATAATTTTGGAAAGAAAGTATCGGCATATTGTCACAAGTTTTAGCAAAATAATCAACTTTATTTAAAATAATTTCTATTTGTTGGTTTTTATATTAACATTGGCAATAAAAATAATTTTAAATCAAAAACTTTTAACAATAAATTGTGATATATTATTACTTACATCAAGTTCTCCTTCGGTCAAATATTTAGCCACTGCTTGACCTAGCATTTTCATTTTAATTGAAGTCTAGAAATAAAATATATTTTGAATGTATTTTTTCAAAAAGCGTCTCTTATGAAGGAAGGGAGAGCACGACGTTGCGGTGGGATAATCGATTTGGATGAAATTAAGTGAAAATGTAGTGCAAAAATCAACGTATGCCAAGAATAATAATACAACACTAAAAAAATAAACCATTATGCCTTTTTGTTAGTATTTTGTCTTGATAAACAGGATTTCCGTATATAAGCCATACCTTTTTATCTCATAAACTAATAAATTTAATATCAAATTAATTAATTCTAACTAAATTTTATTGTAAACACAATAATCACACAAAACAATTATCCGTGTTCTTATGCGTCTGACAATAGTTCATCTTTATTTTTTATAGTTACAAATTTTTCATGCATCTAACGTAAATTTCGTATGTGTATGTAATAATTTATTATATCATTTTAGCTACTTGTGCAGCTGATAAAAACTAATAAGTTCAGTCAAAACTTCCCGTCACAAATTTTATATTTTAATATATTAATTTTATTTCTCCAACTATATAAAATTTTTAGCTCATTATATACAACTTTTCTTTCTTTTCATTGTATTGTAAATTTTAATATAACACAATTACGATAATAAGTATCGTATAGAAATATACCCCTTTCTAAAAAAAGAAAGAGGAAAAAAAATTAAACAATACGCCATACCATTCGCGAAAGTGTGTTGATTTCCGCCAGTAACCAATCTGGACAGTCACCATCGCCGAGAAATCTAAATCGCTAGTATAGATAGGTTTGAATATGTCAAGATTAAGTAATATATATGTATACTTTAAAAAATTTTATTTTTTACAATATTTCATTTATTTAAAATCATAAAAGGAAAAAAAATAATTCTCATGTCATAACGTTCTTTCTCTTACCATTTTTTGATAATTTTTTAGTTTGTGCTCTCTCTCTATGTCTTCTCTCACTCTAACTTCGTTCTTTTCACCTAAAAATCACGCACAAGTTTTAAAAAAAATACAATGAAATTATACATAGCAAAAGTCCTACAATTTTATACAAATAACAACAGAATATTGTAGCTAAAATAAATTTTAAAACACAATCTATGAAAAAATCACAATCATTTCTCCTATATACATTTGTAATATAATTATTTATCAAATTATGAAATCCTCATGTGGCAATTTATTCTATGCAGTTCGACAAAACGTTTAATCAACTTGGAATTCACCGTCGCAACTTGGCATTCAATCCTCGTGCAACTATGGCGATACCTACGTTTACTACGGGCCTCAGGGCGGAAAACAGAGTGACATTTTTTCTGCCGCACTGCTTCTACGATACCTCTTCTCGCACCAATAATTTTTCTAACAATAAGTATCATAACGTTACGATAGCGAGCAGACATGGACGTCAGGATGTTTGCACTAGCTAGCGAAGTAGATTGACGTGGGTATCCGCGCCAGGTGAACGAATTCCCCATGCAATCCGCCTAATCCTTCGACCACAACGGGATGGCCCATGGGAGTTTCGACTAGTGGACATAAATATCCGGACAAGAGTCGACCCATTGCCATTGTAGTTGAAGAACTCGCAAACGTCGGAGAAACTTCTCAACAGGTGAACACCGCAACAAGTAAGGAGTGCTGATAATTAGCTTAGGAAACAACGAGTTCTTTTGCGATCTTGCAGTCTTTACCAAACCGCGATTTTATACAAAATCACATTATATACATACATTACAAATGATTTTTGATAGTTTTCTATAACAAGCCATTACCTAAGTTTAAATATCAAGTCACAAGAAATTGATCAATCGTGGTGATTGAATGTGAGATAGATAATACACTTTATTTTATTTAAGCCCTACTTTAATTTTTTATATAAGTACGTTAAGTATTCAAGATGATTCATGTAAAGTTCCATTGCGGATGCAGAAATTGTCATGTAAATAAACAAAATATTAATTTGTTTAAAATCTTTGTATCTAATCGGTGAATCGAAATGAAATTTTACATAATTATTTTAAATACTAATATTTATACAAAAATATTTACATTTTTGTTGTTTTTTAAATTTTAGTTTATAATTAATACAAATATAACAACAAATAAAATATATTACAAAAACATGTTGTACAATGAAAGTAGAATATTATTAACGCAATACATGTATATTACATGTATATTTATTATTTAAAATAAAAATTTTAATATATATTTAAAGATACCAGAGAGTGTTTGCGGGTTATCACCGTGTTCTTTTCCATTACTAATGCCAACGTTTTGTGAACCTTACCGTTCACTTCATCAGGGCGAGGAGTGCACTACTGATACACACAATATCAATGCGCTCTTCGCCCTGATGAAGTAAAGATTCACGTAACATCGACGTTAATAATGGATAAGAACACGATAACCTGCAAAGCCTCTGGTATCTTTGAAGATAAAATCCTTCATAAAACCCGTGAAAGCCTCAAAAGCATTAATATATGTACTATATATATTGATCGCATCTCAACATATTTTCCGCATCTGCGAAACAAGTAAGACGTTTAATTATGTTAATTAATACACATAAATAAAATCAACACCATCAATCATTTTTTCAATTTTTTAAAAAATTGTTTATCTCAAAATTGCTATATTAAAATTTTCTACAAAATTCGTCATTAACTAATTGTAATAAAATACTTTGTATACTACTCTTCTAAACATTAATTAATTCAATAAGATAAAAAAATTAGATGTCTGTATGATTGATATCGATATTTATATAATCTTATTACATAGATTAATTAGATATATTAACTGTTAAATATTTTCTTATAATGATTATTTTATAATGTTCTCTTATAATATGGAAATTCTGATGAAAATAGTAAAACTGCTATAATAAAATTATCAAGCTTTTTAACACACATTGTACTAAATCATATAATATTGAGTGAAATGTAATATACACATAAATCTTTTATCTTTCAGCAATGAACAAAATATTTCTGGCCATAACTTTGCTATTGATAACAGTATGTGAAAATATTCTGGTAAGTATAACATTGTTTGTAACTATTTTAAAACAATATATGACAATTGTTTTTTGAAAAATAGATAGAAACGTCGTACTCTGAAATGCTGCGTATAGACTTCAATAAAATAAAGAACAAAACTTCCAAAATGAAGAATTGTTTATCATTTGTTATGATTGATTAGAATTTAGTAATAATGTATGTAAGAAATTGATTTTGTGTTTTAAGATGGAAAACCGCCCATGTTATCTTTTAAAGACGACATGGCTTTGTGACAAGCTATGGAATAAAAAAATAAAGCGAATATCACAGGTGGATATTCCTTCCGAAAGAGAAGAATCCTTAAATTATAATGATGACAGACAGTTTCCTCGAATTTCGGACACACGATTTATTAGCGAATCAAGAAATCTGCCTCCAATGGCAATGATCAGGTAATAAAACAAATAAAATTTATAGTGATTAGTTGTCTCTGCACTAAAAATTTGCATTAAAAATTTAGATATTCTACTTAATACACATGTCTAAATTCTTAAGATATCATTCATGTATTATCACAATAACGAAATATCCAGAGAATTGCACAGCATATATCGATGTAAAAATAAAAGATGTTTTTATATCATTATTTAATAAACGTAGAAAAATAATATAATCTTATTTATTTATTTTTTTGTTATTTGTTAATTAATACAACAAATTTGTAATTTTTTAAATTTCTTATCAATGTAGTATTAAAAATAGAATATAGTAAAATTTTCAATAAAAGATTATCGATTCACAAAATTAATTTATAAAATTGTTCCATTTCTAATTAGAAGACAGTATGCACAATAAAATATTAAAATAAAAAAAAAGAATATATTATTGCTTTACAGACAACATGATTTGGCGCAATTTAATTTACCTTCCGATAAATTAAAACTTGACACCAAACCAAGAATTTTAATCTCCATCGGCATACAAAAAGAAAAAAACGTCGATTACGATTTACAAGAAAATTGCTCGACAAGAAAAAATTATTGTAAGCAGAATTGGCAGGTTCAACAACCATTCTACGTGGAGGAACCAAGATGGATTGATATCGATGTTGATTATATGGACTCGAATATAGAAAATAGTGATCCTTACATATTGACACGAGGAAAGAAAATTTATAGAATTAGCAATCCGGAAGAAACGAGGAAAACCATAGAAGCGACTCTCGATTATCCAAATAAAAATAAAAAACTATTGATAAAAAATCGAGTGAGAAGATTTGCCGAGACGAACGAAGAATCTCAGGATAAAACAGACGATGAAAAGAATAATCGGATAAAAGAAAGAAATCACTATGATTCTTTTCAAGATATGGACAGGGATGCAAATAATACTGCAATCATTGAAATAGAAAATAGATTCGAGAAACCTTTGAAAATCGATAAATCATCAGAAAATGAAAAGACGGAAGATATAAATTACATCTTTAATAAAAAAGATGAAAATGCTAATTTAAAAAATTTAGTGAAAACATTGTCGCGTGATTTTACGAAGCAAAATCAAATTTCCAGAAATAATCTCGATAAAATCATAGAACTTATTAAACAAAAAGAGAAGATACAGCGCGAAGAAAGTCTCAATGATACTGAAAGTGACAACAGCGAAATTATGAAAATCGATCAAGTAAAAAAATTGAATAAGAAAAGTTATTTTGTTATTAATAATATAAATAAAAAGTCTGTGTTACTGAAAAATCAAGAACTTCTCAAAACTCGTAAAAAGAGAGAAATCTATGATATGAATTCTAAAGAAGATGTCGAAAAGAATGAAACCGAAATATATAAGCAAATAAAGAATAAAGATTATATTAAAAGGTTGGATGATTTAAATACACCTGATAATAATTTCATTTTATATCATAAAGATTTGATTGACAACGGAATAGAAAGCTTGAATAAAATAAATACAGATCGTAATAAATTCATAAAAAACACATGGAAACTTTATTATGCGCATCGTAAGAAATTAGAACAAAGCGAAAGAGAAGCAAAGAACAAGGAAGACAAATCTGAAATTAATAATAATATTGAAGTAACAGATTCACAATTAATAAACGAGTACAATTCGAAAAATTTCAAAACAAAGATTCCAAATGATCGAGAAAAGCGTAATATTTGCAAAGACTGTCAGATTAAATCGGAGTTCAAAGAAAACGAATGGTTGAAGGAAATTGAGAAGAAAATTCAGCTGTCTTTAGAGCGAAGAGACAAGCACAGTGATATCTTAGAACGCCTAAGCCTAAGCGAGCCTTATATTATTTCCCGAGGTAAAAAAATGACACAGGATTTTGGAATGGAGAATCTCTTCTCCATGTCGAATCCACGAAATATGAACGACGAGAATCATGCTAAAATGATTACTTTCCCGATTGCGGAGAGTCTAAGAACGCTATTGATGGACATGTCTAGATGTAACAACGATAACTCCAACATTAACGTGAACAAATTGTCAAACCAGCGATTGTCACCGAGAGACCGACGACGCAGTACGCTCGATGAAATCTTAACAACATACGATCCTTATTATGTGGCCAGAGGAAAACGAATGCTCAAAAATCAGAAGAACGTCTTATTCGAGACAGATACGAGGCAATAAGCCATAAAAAACGTTCGGCAAAATATAACTATTAGCTTTATTCATCAAGATATAATTGCCAGCGCTCCAATATGCTCCAGAAAAGCAAGAAGTTGGGAATATCTGCTTAATTTATTCGATTGATTTGAGGTTTGACTTGCTTTTGATTGTGACGAAAATATAACAATCATTCTTTCTCAATTAGCATATTAAAGCATGCTTATTGTAAAATATATCTAGAAACAAAAATAATGTTATTTAAAAATTACTTTAAAAAATCGATTATATAGTAATAAAACTTGCAGGAACTTTCATTTTACAAAATTTTACAAAAACTTTCAGAAAAATCTACATATGTATGTGATAAAAAATAATGTTATTTAACAGTATTAGCTGACAACAATATAATTAAAAATATTTCAATAACAGTATTAAAACAACATTTATTAAAATAAAAACATTACATATTTGTTTTATTAAAGTTCATTCAATCGCCATTACTGTCTCAGATTATGAGGTCAGAAGCAAGAAAATACACAATAAAATGTTTACAAAATATATTATTATAGAAATATGTTTCAATAAAACAATACTTACAATTGCTAGAACAAACTTGTAAAATGTACCGAAAGTTCTCCATTTATTTTGTTAATTAATAAATAACCATATAGGTACTTGGAAATATATTAATAATATTCTTGGATAAATTCGGTATAATTAAAAATAAAATAAACTATGTTCACATCTATAATAAACTGTCATTTTAATAATGTAGAAATAAATATAAGTAAATAATTTTCAGTACATTTTATAAAACTATTCTATCGTGCGTTTGCAAATGTTATTTTACTGAAATTTCTATTCAAATATACAACCTATATTCTTTATCACAAAAAACTCTGAATTTATTGAATTAGGGGCACCAATTCAGTAAATTTATTATTAAAGAATAGATCTATAATTTATAAAAATTTTTATAGTGTGTCTTCTTGCTTCTGACACACAATCTGAGATAATATAAAAACAAGAGTAAACAAGAGATTAATATTAGTACTAAATTAACAAGATTATTTTCAACAATTAGGTTACTGTTAATTAATGTTATTAATGCAATATCTTTTTTCTATGTAAATAGCAATTAAATCCATACTTATATAACTTATTGTATTTAAATTTGGTAACTTATTTATTATAAGCATCAATATATGTGTAAGCATCAATAAATTCGATATATACAAAAGGTGTATGGAGAGAATGACTTTCAATTGTAAATTATAAAAATGTACTTTGTAAATTATATTAAAAAAAACAAATATATAAATATCATAAAAGTTAACTAGAATATGTAGTCAATATGTAAAATGTTTTCCATGTTCCATTCTATGAGAATAAGTTAGTTAAAAAGTAAAAAAAGATTTTATCTTGTTTAACTTTTTAACTTATTCTTGTAATTAATGCAGTAATTTAGTTGTTTTAGATCGTTTGTGAGTAAATAGATTAAACAATTGGCAAAAGCTATCATATACCTAGTATGAATATATTCTTTTTGTGTATATAACATTAGCTACAAAATAAAAATAAGTATATAAGAATAAAGATTATTTTATACTTCTGTGTTTATTATATGCTATGCTCATTTCTTATATTAACAATGTTTATGCTGTATTCTCTAATTTCTTTTCTTCTTAATTGTAAATTATAACCTATAAAACACAACTATATATTGATAAAATACCTAATTGTTTCGCGTATTATGAGCTATATTTTATGTGATAATTTACTAAATTATATTATTATAACGATGTTTATTTGTAAAATAGTACAAAGCAAAAATAGATACCTGATAAACAATGATATCCGCAAAAATAAACACTGATTGACGTTTACAAAAGTGAGAAGGTTAGAACTGTTTTACTATCTGACTGTGACATTTCAAGTCGATAAGTTAGAATATAAATTAGGACCGATAAAAACATTTCCTATAATTCGTAATTTTGACGTTATGTCTATTAATTTGCATTGTTAATGCTTAATTTACAATGAAAATAGTATGAAAAAGAAATCTATAAATCTAACTGCAATATTTATTTCATATTTGTAATATCTATACAAGTTTGAGAAATAGACATTGCCAGCTAAAGGTAAGAAAATTCTATATAAAGCTATTCTTAAAATCTACAAATTTTTTTTTTAACATATTTTGTTTAAATGTTCAACATTATGCGCGTAAATGCATATCTAAAATCAAGAGATAAGATCTATAAGAAACGTAAAAAAAGCGCGTCATTATTTTTTATTTTATTGTACAACTATCAATAAAATATATTTTTAGAAATTTATTTTTTTCGAACAGAGTAAAATATTTCTAGACTTTAATAATTAAGACAAGGTAATACAATAAAATAATTGCATTATAATTCTTTCTATCTCTCTCGATTTAATCAAATTCTTTAACTTATGAAATATAGCTTTTATTTCTTTTTACATCAATATAATTTATAATGTACATTATAAATTGTAAACAAATTACATTATAAATTATGTAATAAAAAAATAATAAATAAGAAAAAGCAAATGAAAAGAAGAGGATCTTCAGTTAAAATTAGCACACAAGTTGTAAAATATATATGATCAGTAATTTTGCCAAATAAATATTTGATAAAGTTGAAACAGATTCATAAGAGGATAAGATTGCTTATCTATTTTTAATTCTGGTAATTATTACTAAATAATTAGTAAGACGACACATCATATATGGATATTATACACTGAGAGAAAAATGTACTAAAAATTTTAATAAATAATTGTTTGAACAATACTAATATAACATTTACTTACAAAAAATTTGCTAAATAAAAAATAGTAATAATTAAATCAAATTAATACTTCGTACCAAATATAAATATATATTTACATTTAAAAAATTCAATTGGCATTATTCAAATAAATTTTTATTACAATTTAGAATATTTTCTCTCAATGTACAAAACAAAATCATGCAATTCTATTTATATCAATGTAAAACAATTATAACGTACGTACGTTAAAAATTATTGTAATTAAATTAATAGTATTTATTATAAATTATATATGACAGAAAAAATGAAATGAATAATAAAAAAGCATTTTAAGCATATCTTTAAAAAGGAACATCGCAAATTAAAATCAATTAAGATGATAAAAAACTTCTGCAAGTTGAGCTGTTTTTATTTAATTAAATTTTGTTCAAAATTGTAAACTACAATTTTAAATAAAATACAGTTCGTATAGAAAAATTTTGAGCTTAGTCAAAGTTTCTAATTGCATTTATTAATAAAAAGGAACAGCCTGTATTAAGAAAAGAATATAACTGTATTATACACGACCATTTTTATCGAGCATAATAATTGCAATTAGAAACTTTGACTAAACTTGAAATTTTTCTACATTATACACAACCATTATTTTCTTAAAACAAGTTGTTTCGTTTTTATCAAAGATAATAATTGCAATTACGAACTTTGACTAAACTTGAAATTTGTTCACAATATTTATATATTTTTAACTTACAATTTTAAACAAAATTTCGATACAAAAATGGATTGATCCACATTCATTTACATATTTACTATTTCTATCATATTTTCTCTCATAAGAATTACTTGCCACGGTGAAAAATCTTACCAATTTGACTACTAATGTTTTTATTTAATAATGTAATCATGTCTCGAAGAAAGATGGAAAGATCGTTGTATTATGTAAATATATAGAATGTTCGTAAAAATTATAACGTTTAAGGTGGATTCTTAAAATAATTTTTTTTTAAATAAAAATTCTAATATCAAAATATTGAACAGTTTTATTAATTGTAAACATTTGAAGTTGGTGAATCATCGCTTAAAATTCGCACGTTTAGATGTGGTTAGCATTTTACGTTATATCATAGTGTATTTATGCATAATGTATAATTGTTCCCGCGCAAATGTTCCTTTGCGATGAAACAACAAAGCTCAGAAAGAGGTTCGAAAGGAGATAATATGTGAACAATTATATAATATCTACGTCGAAACGATCTTGTAATTATATATATATATATATGTATATAAATTTATATATTAATCTATATATAACTCTTTTTTTTCGTTTTATTGTTTAATGTAAATCCAGTTAAGAATTAAATGATTTTTTAATTTACTTATCATTTTTATTTACTTCTCAAAATAATTTTTCACATTTAAAATACATTATTTTGTTTACAATACTTATGATAATTTATGATATGATGAAAGGATAAAAATTATTGAAAATTATAAGAACTATTAATAATTTGAGAGACGAAGAGAATTATTTGTGAAAAAATTTGCATATGCTAAATGAATGTAAATGGGTTGTTACTTAAAATAATTGGAAAGTATTTTACAAAATCATTCATGACAGCCATTTATTAATTACTGTTTGTGCTAATTACAATCAGAATTTGTAATATCTTCATCGCAATTTTTATAGGTTTCTCATTCAATTCGTGACGGGGAATAAAGATTTACATAAACACAAATGGAAAAAAATGAAACGAAAGTTTTTTAACAGTATAATGCATAGTTAATTTATGTTAAATTTTCGCATTTATACATTTATGAAACAACTAAAGAAAGGACATGAATGAAACATTATGGGCTATAGAAATATTAGAGCCTGAAGCAATTTATTATCTTATAACAAGATATGCAACTAACATACATGATAACGTAAGTCCCATCATACTGCCCGATGGAAATTAATAAGATGTAATTTCTGAACAAGAAATTTATTATGTGCGATACAATATTGTTGTAATATCGCATTTTTATTAGAAAAAATATATATTGATCAGTAGAAATTAAATGGTAAAGAAAAATATTTTATATCAAGATCATTGAATATATGATATAGCGTCTCAGCTGGATCAAAATTAAATTTCATTACATTGAATGCAATCACAATGGCCACGAAAATAGTCACTTTTCAACATTAGTTAATTCTGCATTCGTTTGAAGACAAAAACATAATGATTAAGAACATAATCATATCTATGATAACAATTATCGATTAACATCCAGAGAAAAATATAATTCCTATCTATGTCACAAGGTACGCTAGATATTTATACACTATTCAATCTTAACTTACACACCACCCGTTCCCCGTTTACATCTTATTTCTCAGAGTCGAGAACGTGAAATAATTTTGTCGTAGTTGCGCCGATATGTGTCTACAAATTAAAATAGAGTAAATCCTACACATCAGGATTCATAAATATATAGAGTGTCTCATAAAAGATTAATAGTAAAAACACATTTTTCCCCATGAATTTTGAATCGATTTTTCCTTAACGATAAATTTACTTTATTTACGATATTTTATTATAATATTTTAAACATTTCCTTATCACATTTAAAAACTTAGGTATCTTTTGTAAACATAATTTTCTAAGCGTGCATTAAACGTTTATTTTTAATTGTTAATTTAAAAACAATATACTTTCTACATTTCAAAATTTAATTGATAATTAAATAAGTTAATTAATGGTAAAGTACGAAAATTATTAGCAAAATATTTGTTTGAATCTTTTTGTCAAGGAATAATCGTTTTATAAATTCATTCAAAAATGTCATTACTACGAATTGCTACTTTTTACATTTTGTATGAAATAACAATAATACTGATATAGGCATCTCTTGAAAAACTTCACTGATGTACAATTATAATCGACGAAAGATGTTTTCGACTTATTTTCACTAATTACATCATCAATAAAACGTGTCGTTTGCACAGATCGGAAGACACAAATCGTAAATAAACAAATATAAATAAAAATGTTTCATGACTATGTTATATAGCATCTTAAAAAAAGATAAAGAAAAACTCAAGTTTTTATTTTTAATAAATTTTGTTGTTTCCGATCAATTTATACGATAATATGTTTGTAGTTAAATATTTCAATATATAGTTTATTTTGTACTTAAATATCGTAATTTATTAACGCAATTTACTCTTAAATTAAATTAAATTATCTAAATAATTTAATTGATTAACTTAAGAATTATATATTTAAGAATTTGAGACCATAATATGAAGAATTTGTTATCAATGCCAATTGTACGTAATATTTTTTTAAATATATAAACTCTCTTGCAATGTATATTTTAGCAAGAGATAAGGATATAGACCAACATAACAATGTTTAGATAATTTAATTATACATGAATTTCTCTCTCTTTCTCTCTAATTTTCTCGTGGGAGAGTTATACATGAAATCACAGCAAGAGTTTTGCATGTAGAGTACTATTTATGAAACACTAGAGAAACAGTAGAACTTTCTTCCATACACCGTGTTCATTGTGTACGCTTTGAATTATGTCCTCACGATTGTATCTATGACTTGTGACTTACGACCTGCGTCCAACGCACGCAATTCTGAATCTTATAATAGCGAAAAAACGTAAGTAATAATGTATACATAAATCATATATATTGACTAGACCAAAATCGGCTTATAATATATAAAATAACTTATGATATGTAAAATATAATAATGAAGTCTTAATTAACAAATTGTTAAAACAACAAATGACAGTATACTTGCACCCATCATCATAACTGATAGACACGTCTTCTTCTTTTTTCTCGTTTTTAGATTTAACTACATCGGTTTAATTATTTGGAGGAGACGTTTCGTAACAGTTGCGTTACCGTTTCTAAGAGCTGTTGTATTATTGTGAATCTGGAACATAAAGCAACAAACAGCGATTATGATACTACCTTCGTAACATTTGGGAAATCAACATTACGTATACCATCAACTGTTTAATATAATTATACGAAGAATTAAGGACGAAACTATATCTAATAAAAAAAACTTTCATCATTGTACGATACAATAGAGTTATACTTATT